GCGCATATGCGTTAGATGTCTCTTGCGAGCATTGGAGTACTGCGTAATCTTGTCCAGCAGCCGCGTGCAAGCAAGCAAGCTCGGGGTCATCTGCATGCTATGCTTTCTCCTTCTCCTCCTCCTCCCCCTGTCTTCGTCCTCGTGTTCTTCCTCCTCCTCGAGGACTGGTCTACTCCTCCTCCTTCTCCCCGGGATCATCTTCATCCTCATCTTCGTCCTCTTCCTTCTTCTCCCCCCTCGTCGCCTGAGCATCCTAGCCTCCGCCTCTTTGTCCTCGCCTCCTTCGCATGTCTTTCAGTAGCCTGACTGCGCATTAGGAGAATTTGGGTTTGGCGGGCACGAACGCGAGCAAAAAGGCATAGATGAAGTGGGGAATTCGCAAGCCTTGGGGGACTTTCAGGGGCCCCGGTGGATTCATGTGCAGACTTAGGCATCGCTCCCTCTGGCGTCACATTTGAAGCTTGTGTTGTCAGTGATGAGAACGCATATCTGAGCTTCGCCCATAAAACAGTTGCCTCCGAACGGACGGGCGAGAAAGGAGAAGGAAGAGGAGAATGTGAGCAGGCAAGAAAAGGGGGGAGGAGGAGGAGGAGGAGATGGAGGAGAAGCATGATCACGACAACAGAGAGAACAACAAACACTCCGCCGCCAGCTCATCAGATCAGGTACGATCATGTGGGCATTTCGCTTAATGCAGCTTCCTCTTTTGATATGTTCGCCCATGGCGGCGAACCAGAGGCAGAGGAGCAGGCGCACGCGCGCGCTCCGTGCTGCTGGTGTCGCTGATGGCGGTGGCGTTGTGAACGCAGTTGATGCAGCAAAATTGATCCCCAAGATATTTCAAAAGGACATCGCGAAGGTTCGCGATGACTGGGGCATGTCAGCAATTGATTTCAAAGAGACCAAGCCAGGCGATGGCCTCGTTGGTCCTCATCGTCTTCATTCAATGAACGATACAACTGGCGACATGATCGCTTATGGTATCATCATGCTTGCTTTGCCTGGCGAAGTGTACTCTGGTCCTTTATGCTTGTGCACGCGTTGGCATCAACTGGCGCACCACATGTTGTCAGCAAATAGTGTTACCGATCGTGAGGTGTTTTTCAGCATTTCTGAAGCTATGTGCTTCGAATCCCCGGTTGGCTGGGTCGAGTCCGATTATTCAGATAGCAAGCTCTTGAGGACATTAACTTCTATTTCTTGGTTATCCTCAACACGCTTGCTGGACCTAACTGGCTCAATGAACGTGCCGAATCCAGCCGGCCAGTTGTTCTCAGAGGTCGGGGGTACCGCCACTCCGAGGTCCAACACGGTCCGTTGTTGGTTGCAAGGGCATGGCGTGAACTTTGGTGGTGACGGGTTCTGCTTTACAGCCTACTTCCCACACCCTGTGCTAATTGATTTGATCTGCGGTGGCGCGGTCAGCCACATCGGCCTGTTGCAGCCGAAAGCCAGAGGCGGAAACGCCAAGATCGATGCCATATTCGAGGACGCGAAGGCGATGAGGGACCACGTTGACATCCACGTCGTTGGCTCCTCCGAACGTTCCAGCATCTTGGACGTGCAAGTTCGCGCCGATGGGGTATCCAAGATGTTGAGACAATGGGCCCCTCACATTTTGTCGGCATCCCCGTCTGATCGACCAGCTTTGGAAGAAATGGTAATGTGGCTTGATAGGTGCGCAGCGAGTTTAACGCCAAGAGGGGTCGCTGCGGCCAAGCGGTGGGGGCCATCAAGTGTTTGAGACGGCTTACATGTTGCGTTACCTTCTTCTCTCACGAAGCCTCAAGAGTTTCTCTTTACTTAGCCGAGCAATTCAAGCGTCCATCAATATTGCCTTGCCGACTGAGTTTGCTGACGTCATAGTCGACATGATATCAAATCATGATGTACCGCTGCCTTCAGCTGGAACCCTGTCACGCTTCCAACTGTCCGTCGACGCTGGTTATATGCTGTGGCATCGCCGAATGAATCAAGATGCGAAGTCCCATGGCAAGCTTCCAGCGAGATATTTCATGGTCGATTCGAGTGAGCAATGTGGTGCCGACTGGTTGATCAGTTCTTGCGCAGTAGTCTTGGAAGACGACTTGGTGCCGCTGTCGCAGGCGATTGACACGTTGGTCGAACTACGTGCTCAGCAACGGCGGCGGCAGGGCACTGACGATTGCGATGCCACTCAGGCCGAGGTTGAAGCGATTGCCAAAGCTGAGACCACCATAACATCCTCGATCAGTTTGCACACCATGCCCTGTGTTGCCGTGGGAGCTGGTGCGTCATATTTTCAGCATAAGCTGCATGGCTTCCTACACCAGTGCCGGCTTGAAAACGGTTCATGGCCACTTGTTCGGGAGTTCGCGAGGAGTATCGTTTCATTCGCCGCGGATATGGGAGCGGAGCTCGGCTTGGCCAATACGAGTGCTAGCATCAAGGAGGAAGAGTTGGTGCCAGGTTTCCAGAGCATGTTTACTTGCGAACATTCGGAGTCACCTCGGGACCTCCA